ATACTTAGAACTTATGAGCACTCATGAGGGTTGTAGCACCTCTTGCTATGTCCAACAACTTATACATCTACAAGCCAACTCATGATAGTCTTGAGTCATATCTACTTCCAACACATGACCGACTGTGGAGAATTTGAATAATATGATATACCATAACATAATTATTATGGAAGTTAAAACATGCAAAATGAAATGGCAGTAAACGATTGATAAAAGATAGCAACACTTATACTTATAAATAAACAACAACTTTTATTTATCATCAAATGTCAATTACACTTTACAAATTTCCAAGCTATCTAACTACTAAAACTAATATCATCCTTCAGCCCTATGCACCTCGCATGTTGGAGATGTTTAACCCTACCCAGTCCCTTCATGAGGGGATCTGCTGGGTTCTCATCCAATGATACCCTCTTTGCCACGAGGATTACTTCTTCTATTCGATGTCTGATGAGATGATATTTTCTGTCGATGTGTCTAGATCTCCCCTGATCCCTTGGTTCCTTGGCTAAGGCAGCTGCACTTTCACTATCACCGAAAATATCCATAGGCTCCTTTATAGTTGGTACAACTCCAAGGTCTCCAATGATGTTCTTTATCCATATAGTCTCCTTGTCTGCCTCGTTTGCCGCTATATACTCTGATTCGTTGGTTGAATCAGCCACTATCTCCTGCTTGGAACTTTTCCAAGTAACTGCTCCTCCGTTTAAGGTAAAGACCCAGCCTGACTGAGAAAGGAAATTATCCCTATCAGTCTGGAAGCTAGCATCACTATACCCTAATACTCTCAAGTCATCACTCCCACCGAAGGTAAGTACCTCATCCTTAGTCCTCCGCAGGTACTTGAGAATGTTCTTTACCGCAGTCCAGTGAGCCTTGCCAGGGTTCCCCTGATATCTGCTGACCATGCTCAATGTGAAGGCTACATCAGGATGAGTACAAGTCATAGCATACATGATCGAGCCTACAACGGAAGCATACGGTACTCGACTCATCTCAGCTATCTCAACCTCTGTACTCGAGCTTTGAGTCTTACTCAATCTGGCGTTACTCTGGATCGGTAACTCTCCTTTCTTAGAATCCTGCATGCTGAACCTATTCAGCACCTTATCCAAGTAGGTACTTTGACTAAGTCCAATTAGTTTTTTACTCATGTCTCTCAAAATCCTTATCCCTAGAATCTAGGTAGCTTCTCCAAGTTCCTTCATAGCGAAACACTTCTCAAAGCCAGGACTTAACCTTCTACAAAGTTGGAATGTCATTTCCCATGAGTAGTATGTCATCCACATACAGTACCAAAAATCTAACTATACTCCCACTAGCCTTGACATATATATAAGATTCATCTTCACTTCTTGAAAATCCAAACTCTTTGACTTTCTCATCGAAACAAAGATTTCATCTGTGAGGTGATTGTTTCAGTCCATAGATGGATTTCTCAGGCTTACACACTCTATTAGGTTACTCTGTGCTGAAAAAACCCTCTAGCTAACTCATGTAAACATCGTCAGCCAACTTTCCATTAAGGAAAGCATTTTTGACATCCATTTGCCGTATTTCATAGTTATGAAATTCAACAATGGCTAAAATA